AAAGGTCGGACAGACGAGTATGGTGGGTATACCTGGCAGCGGAACCAGTACTTACCGAATTTCGGTCCGGTCCGGTCCGTCCCGGTCCGGTTCGGTACCGGTTAGTACCGTTAAGGACCGTTAATTTCCGGTTCCGGTACAAGTACCGGGACGGAAATTGGTAAATACCAAAATTTATCGGTTCCGGTAATTACCGGTCCGGTCCGGTTAAAATTTTTTTTAAAAAATATATTCGTTACTAGCCGTTGGGTAACGGCTAGTGGGCCGCCCAATAGCTATTTGAGTAGAACGTCATCCAATAGGAGCCCTACCCCATCCCTAACTTTTTTAATACCCTAAAGTTTTAAAATTTACACTTTAACCCATTTTTTTACTTATAAATACCCCTAAATTTCATTCTTTTAAATCACAAAATCATCTATTCATCTTCTACTCTCTCAAGTCTCTACTCTCTATCTCTAATCTCTAATTCTATAATATATAATATCTTAAATTTCGGTGTTGCCTTACTTGGTCTTTGGAAATTAGATTTGGAGCTTCAAAATTCATTTTTCAACTTTCCACCTTTGGCTTTCGGCGGTCATAAACGTCTACCTTTTTAAGTAGACATTCGGTACATTCGTTTTAACTTTTATTTTACGTTTCAATTATATTTAAATAATTATTTATTTATTTTGTGATTTATTATTTGCATAATTGCATAACATTTTTCGTATTATATTTAATCTCACGTTTAATTTTTTAATATGGATTTCGGCAAAAATATTGTTCAAAAAGGAAAGGGGAAAAAAGTGCATTAGAGCGTGTAAAAAATATTTGTAACTTTACAACCTCCGATAATGCAAAAACCAATTGTTCTTCTAAATCAAAAAATAAAAAATCTACTTTATTAAGAATAAATACGGATGATTATACACATGTTGATGATAAAGTTTTTAATATTGATAGTAATTCAGGATTAGATCCTTATCATGAACATTTACAACGCCGCTTTGGTAATTTTGATGAGGATTTGCCTAGTGATAATGATAATGATAATGATATTGATAATTATACTGATACGCCTACTTTTGATGATGATGATGATGATGAAACTGAGCCACCTACGGCTACTAATAATCCAAGTCCCGCTCCCTTTCATTGTCTTGCCCCAGTTCCCGCAGTACATCCTAGGCCTAAGGTAGAATGTGTTAAAAAATCGATTGTTTGACAATTTATCACACAAAACGAAGATAAAACACAAGCTCTTTGTAATAAATGTAAACATATATTAAATCATAAAACTGTTGGCAAATCTGGCGGGACGGGACATTTGAGTAGTCATTTAATGTCTTGTTGTAAAAATGAATTTTTGCATGCTAAAGCGGTAGCGGAAGCTAAAAAAATGGTACCCCCTTCCTGAAAATGTAGGAGTAGGCGGCTCTAAAATGGTACAAACACAATTAAATCCGTCTAATGTTTCTGGCTCTACTTTACTACCTTCATGTAGTAGAGAAAAAGATTTTGAAGAACTAGCTAAAATAATACGTGTTATGGGTTTGCCATTTAGTTTGGCTGAAAATTCCGATTTTATACATTATATTCAAATTGTATATAAATCAAATTTTAAAGGTTTTGCTAGAAATACAATAAAAAGGTTGTATTTGATTATCATGCACAATATTTTCAATATCTTCGTTATTTATTTTATTACAATACTTGTAAAATAGCTATTACTTATGATATGGCTCGTAGTGTAAATGGTAACGATTATTTGACTGTTACTGCAAAATTGGTATATGCAAAAAAGAATTTTAGGTTATAAATGTTGTCAAATGCAAAAAACCGATAGTTATATTGCTCAAACTATTTTAGATATTTTACAAAGTTATGGAATATGTGATAAAATAAGTAGTATAACCTTAGATAATCCTTCAAGTAATAATTCTGCTGTTGAATATTTAAACACTACACTTTGTCCTTTCTATGGTGGTAATTATCATATTAGGTGTAGTGCACATATATATAATTTGATGGTTAGAGATGGTGTAAATATGTATGATACCGGATGTACGAAAGTTGAAAATGCATGTCATTTTATATTTAAACGTCAAGTTAAGTCTCGGCGTAAAGATTTTCAAAACCGTTGTTTTAAAAATAATCTTCCACCTAGAAAAATTCTAAAAACAGTGGCTACTAGATGGAATACTTTATATGAAATGCTTGTAGTCGCTTATGAATATCGAATAACCTTACAAATGGTTTGGAATGCTCATAATTCTGATATGACATATAGACTAGATGATAATGATTGGCGTGATATAAATGAACTTATAGATTTCCTAAAAGTTTTTTACTTAACTACAAAAAGAATTTATGTACTTTATAGCGCATCAATTTGTACTATTTTGCCTGATATTTGTATGATTTCTTCTAAATTATATAAATTTAAAAATAAACCAAGATTTTAACAAACCATTGAAAAAATGATTAAAAAATTTAAAAAATATTATATTCCTATTCCTCAAATTTATTTAACTGCATGTTTGTTACACCCTAAGTATAAAGATTTCGGTTCATCAAGAATGGTTGAAAAAATATATTTTAACTTAGATATTAATAATGTATTAGAAGAAATTCCTAGTTGTCAACAAGTTAAAGATAGCATAAAAATTGAAGCTAGAAAATTGTATGATTTATATAATGCTAATATAAATTTATCAAGTGAAAATAAACCTAAAAGCTCTAGGGTTAGATTTGATGAAAATAATATTGATAATTATTTAGAGGATTATCTTGAACTTTCTCACGATAATAGAAATGATTTTAATGCCTATATTAATCAAAATACAGAACCTACTGAAGATATTCTCAATTGGTGGAGAGATCGCGCCAAAGGATTTCCAAAACTAGTACCGATGGTTCGAGATATATTAGCAACGCAAGCATCGTCGGTAGCTTCGGAAGGCGTCTTTAGTGCAGCAAGGTTTCAACTTGGAGAAAATAGGCATTCACTAGCAGCCGACAGCTTGGAGATATTGGTATTATTTCAAGATTGGATTAATGTCGAGAGAAGAAATTTGGGTCGTGAACCACTACCGACCAAATTTCAAGATGACGTTGATGAAGTAATGCAGGATTATAGTGACGACAAGATTGAATTCAACCTATTCCCGAACATGTTACTAAAGAAATGTTGAATGATTTACGAATGGATTTATATGATGGCCCCAACTATTAGTAAAAGTATGATAATTCAAGATTTAATTCAAACTAATATTTTTGTAAACGTAGTTGTAATATCAAATAAATATTAATAAGAATATAGGTTATTCGCCTTAATTTGTTTTTAATATTGTTGTATTAAATTTAATTTTTAATATAGTCAATTTTTAATTTTATAAC